ACTTAGATTTCAATACCTTATCTTACATTTCGATAGATAAGTTCTATTTCGCTTTTATCTCATTCATTTGCAATATTTATGCTTTATACTTGCATTGTGCTTTTTTGTTATTTAAGCTTATGAATCATGAGTAGTTAGTTTAGGGAATTGGGTTAGGGTTGTACTATCTATTTATATGCTTTATTTATGCTTATTGCATAAAATGGTAGAAATGCCTAACCTCAGGTTTTTTGAGATTATAAAGGAATTGTGATATATTATTGTTAATGTTTGATTGACCACATTCATTAGCGTGTTTTGGAGGATTCTTGGCATCAATGAGAGTTGAGTTAAGATTACAACTTACTCCTTGCATAATCAATATTTCCACTATGAAAATAGGGAGATTTATATGCTTGTTGTGCTTGAAAGACTTGAAATTGATACATCACAATAGTAGCGCAATTCCTAGTCTTAATTCTTTTTTAGATGATCACGATAGTGTTTTTTTTTTTTTTTACTATAATTCATATGTGCATCCTCTCAATTCCTCTGTTATGTATTATCCCTAATCCTATAGGTTTTGCTTGCATCTAGTAGATTTTGCTCCATAACTTGAGTATGTTTCTTTTATTTCGTGTTTATTGTCTTGTTTATATATGCTTGTTCTATCTTGTTTATATGGTTGTTCAATTTTTGTTTTTGTTAATTTCCAAAGACTAGTGACTAGTTATTTATTATTATATATTACGTGTAATAACCCTCAATCCCTAAAAACGACATTTTACACCCATACACTCATTATCACATTATCATACTAGAAGTTCAATGTCTCAAAGGAGTAAAGATGCATTGGATATTAAAAGTCTCCCAACACACATGATATTTTATTGTTGTTGCATGAATCTAGGCTAACACGACTTGTAGTTACATTTACAAATGACATGTCAACTTCATGAATATTTTGCTGCTTAGCCAATCCTATAATATTTTGCTTTAAATTGACCCAAACTAGCAGGCCTGTCACTATTACTTCTCAAGTCCATTATCCATCCCAAATTAAATGATCATGGTCCATATTCTCACTGGACCTCGGCATTGAAGTAGAGGACATGTTTGTCATTGCAGTAAAAGTTGCGTGTCCTATAAGGTACCCCTACATTTTCTCAACAAAGTTAAACTCACGATGATTTTGTCACTGACGTGTAAGTAGCATTAATGACACGTGATAGCCTCTGCTTCGATGGGCGCGTAAAATGACAAAAAGAGCACAAGAACAATTTTAGAGTCCGGTATGTGAAATCCCCGTATTGTCCCTCTGAGTGTACTATTTTAGTGGCAAAGGCGTAAATAGGTTCGTGGAGTGAGGGCGAACTTGGTGAGAAAGATTTTTTGATTCCCAACTTTGTCCCTGGAAAGCACAACCGGTTCGCTCCGTCCCTTGCTATAAGTATCCCTGGATATGTGCCTATCCCATCTCGCTTTTATCCCTTTCTGATTTCTCCTTTTTTTTTCTGCCATTTTTAAAGCTTTCTTCACTATCTCCTTGTTCTGTTTCTCTCTGCCGGTGGTGAGTGATGGCGGCTCAGGATGCTCAGAACGGTGGGAGCGAGAATGGTTCCCCTAAGGTTGTGAAGTTCACTGCTCTGAAGCCTCAGCTCTTCGTGGAGGCGCCGAAGGGAAACGACGCCGTCCTGTTCTATAAGGCGGCGTTTGGTGCCGAGGAGGTCAGCCGTGTCATGCACCCCAAGAGGAAGGCTGAACAGGAACAGCCTCTCATTCTCTCTGCTGAACTTAAGCTCGGTTCCACCGTGTTCCTCGTTTCTGACCTAACTGAGGACTCCTCTGCTCCGTGAGTTCTCATATTTCGTTTAATTTCACTGTATATATGTCTTTATTTTCTCATTTCATGTTAGTGATCTATGGATCTGTGCATTTAGAAGCCGATTTACTGGTTTTCTATGTTTTCTCCCTGTCTTCACTTTAATAATTGTTGTTAATCACGCTATTTTTTACTGTGTATATACATACTTTTGATTTCAAATGTATCGCATACCAGCATATGTTCACGCGTACATGTATGTGTGTATCTGCATGTATACGTATGTGAGGAGTTATTATTTGGATTTTGTTGTCTTCCGTTTTATCCTTTTGCTGTTTGTGATATTTTATTCTGTTGTTTGATATTTTTTTCTGTTACGTTTCTATTTTCCTCTGTTATACGTCCGTATTGTCAGTTTAGATTTTGCAGTTATACGGAGATCCTTGTTTAACGCCATTATTGAGCTATAGTTCAGTTATTTAAGCTCTTGCTCTAATACGCGTGTGCGATTGACTTGATATCGGATATTGTTTTGTGATTTTATAAGTGTCAAGGGAGGCTTGACCGCCGGCGTTTACTGTCTGGAGACCGAGGACGTCGATGCTGCTGTTGCTAACGCTGTGACTGCCGGCGCTGTCGCCGACGGTGAGATTGGTGAGGGTGGTGAAGATGCGTGCTGCGGCGGTCGCGTGGGCAAGGTGAAGGACCCGTATGGCAACGTATGGTTGATTTGCTCCCCGGCGAAGAAGTGCGCTGACGTGGAGGCATGAAGGCCGTTGGATCTCAAAGTTCCCTGTTACTTTACTCTTATTGTTGTCCCTAATTTACCCTGTTGACTAGTAGTGGTACACAGTATAACCCGTTAGTGGTTAGTGCTTTAGTTGGCTTAATGAAACCGTCAATGCTGTTGCTTTTGTAGTTTTGACTAAAATGGACATTTGAATTATGAATCTAATTGACAGCTGCTGTTAGGTTTTCATTCGTTGGAGCATTTAATATTTTTTGTGTCCTTGTACGTTACCAACTTCTTCACTTTATTATTAATTTTTATTATTATTATACTAACTGCATTTTGGGGAGCGGGGTATAATCGACCTTTTACATTCCCGGTGTCACGGCATCCTAGATGGCCGTGGTAATTTTATTGTTGGTGGTCCATAGAAAGACGGTAAAAATCTTACTTTGATTGTTTTGCTTGGATGAACGGAAGACGTTATCGGGCAGCGTGAACGTTGTTACTGTAGTGTTATGTCATTTCTGCTCTCATTACTTTTCAATCAGATCAAGCTTTATGAACAAAATCTAAATTAAAATTTTGCCCATCACAAAATAAAGTTTTTGTAATGCTTTCTTGAACAGTGGTAACGACTAACGAGCGTGCATCTTAATTAAACAAATGGAACTCTCGATTGAGACAACTTCTGACTGTACTGTTTTAGATTTCTTGTCAAGTACTGTATTCTTCCTTTTTCTTGCATTTATTTAAATAGTACTGTATTCGTACTATTGTGTGTAGATAAATCGTTAAATAGAATACCCATTTTTAGGTGAAACGTAGGAAAAATTTTCAGAGATTTCTAAACGGCAATCGGTATTGTGGGTGGCTACCAAACCTTAGAAAAAGGTTATGTAGGGACTCGAATTGAATAAAATTTTATACAAGTCATGATTTTATTGACAGAAAATAGAGAGAACAATAAAAATTTATAGATTATTCTTTTTTATAGAATAATTAAAATACATTAGGAAAACAGAGAATAAAAGATGAAGTAAAATTTGAGTATATAGTTTAATCCCAAACCTTATATAAAAATTGCGAGGATCGAACTTAACTCAATGATTCAGTAGACAGTATTTGTGAGAAGAAATGAGAGAATCGGGTGATATTTTACTTGAAAGCGATGTATATTTAGCGGTCCAGGGCGTCCTGTCAATCATGGGCAAAAGCTACCGATACAAAGTTTTCTTCAGGAACTTAAATCTAAGTAAAGCTTAGGTAGGTCCGTATTAATTATGTATTCGAATAGGATAGTGTTATTGATCTACATTTGTACTACTATTTCAATGTTATCACTTGTCTTATTCAGAGTGATGGGCTCGACCCAATTGTTTGGACCATCCATAGGTGAACTTGATCGAAAACAAATTCTCCTCACGACTACTAAAATCCACAATAATGTTCAAAAGTTTGTATATATTTAATTATGAATGCGTTTCTACAATCTTTAAACCGTGCACCACGGCGCGCATAGCACTGTGTGTCCCGTGCTTCCCAACACGACGTCGTTTTGTTAAGTTAAAAAAAAAATATTTGTTTCGAATGCACATAAACTCATAACAGAATACACATAATCTAACATAATACATAATACACATAAACTTTTAACTGAATACACATAATGGGATTTGGTTAACATAATACATATAAACTCGTAACACAATACACACAAACTTTTAACTGAATACATATAATGGGATTTGGGTAACATAAACTCATAACACAATACACATAATTTTTTAATTGAATACACATAATGGGGTTTGGTCTGTTCGGACGAACAGAGTGACGTCAGCATGAAATGCGCGCGTTTTGTGCCTGGACGCACATTGCTATGTGCGCCGTGGTGCACGATATAAATTGCCGCGCTTATATATATATATATATATATATATATATATATATATATATATATATATATAATGTGTACTGAATAAACTCTGCTATTTTATAACTATCACAAACTACATTGGAAAGGTCAACCGTATTATGAAGACTTTATCCCACGAGCTCGACTATATTGTGTGGGTAAAAACCGGAGACCTTAGGGTTTCAAAAAAGCGTATAGGTTGTTCATAATTAGCTAATTCAAATAAAGAAAGTTAATAATTTACTCTCATTAAGAATTAAATTTGAAATCATGTGGCCCGCGTATCATCGAAGTAGGCTAACAAACTTAAGCTCGAGTTGCCTTGGGATGCTTTTCTTTGTCAAATAAGGAAATTGCAAGAGTATAATTATACTTTTCTATAATTTTTTGGAGTTTTTGCATATGTGAATGAGGGTGAGGAATTTGTTTGTTTTTTTTATTTAATATTTTTATTGTAAGTGATGATTTTTTGTGATACTCACTATCTATAAATATGCATTATTATCTGACTCCCAACTATTCCGTTCAATTTCCTTCCTTCTTCACTCTTCTGGTTTAACCAAAAGTCCAAAACACACAATCTCTCTCTCTCTCTCGTTCTGCTCTTACTCTTTCTCCTTTTCAAGAAAGTCTGGGTGATAGCAATATGGGGATTTTGAATGTTGAGGATGAACATCAAGCCACTGCTCTTACTCTTTCTCCTTGCTCAAAATCCTGGTACTTTATTTTTTTTTTTAATTTCTTGTTTACGTACATATATATGTATGTGTGTAAGTATATAGTAGTATTTCTTGTGTCTCTTCAATTCCGTCATGGCGGTTACTGAGTTCTTCAATTGTTTGTTAATTCGTAAAATTCACAGAATAAGATTGAGATTCAGTTATTATCAATCCGCCATTATTGTTTTCCTTCTGTTCTGTTCTCTTCCTGGATTATGTGTTTGCGAACTGCATTTTATTTTTATTTTTTTTCAGAAAAAAAATAGAAATGGAACTATTTCTGTGTTTAATCTTTTGGATTACGATATGAACAGCGTGGTAGAGATTTATCAAAAGGGCTCAGATCACGGCTACGAAGAGGCGCCGGCAGAGGGAAACAGAACGAAGAAAACTGTGCGATTTGAAGAAGGGTGTAACCAGATCGTCGTCTTCACTTCTGCGGCGGCGGCGGCGCCGCATGCGTCGAAGAAGAAGGTGGTGTGCATATGCGCTCCGGCCACGCATGCCGGCGCGTTCAAGTGTCGCCTCCACCGCGAGAACACGAGCCACAGATTCCACGGCCACCGGCCGTCTTCTTCCGCGCCGTGGATGGTAAAGCATGGCGGCAGAGGATCGTCGAAGGTTTCCCAGCATGGCGGTGGTTTTGGCAACCAGACTCACCATTCGAGACTCGTGAGGGCCGCCATGGCTAATGTCCACCAAGAGAATTGAAGAAGATGATCAAATTCCAATTCCAATTCAAGTTTAGGGTTTGAATTATGAGAGGCATTAGGTCATCGTCATCGATCAATAGCGCAGCTCTAGTTATTACTTTTTTTAAAAAAATCAAATCAAATTAGCACTTTATCCCACATTGAAGTTTTTAGCACTTTGTGGGATTTTATCAGAAAACATTATATTCTTTACAGTTTCTTTAGATATCAAAGTTTTGCAGATAGTTTGGGTTGGTATATATGGATATTTCTTTTTAATACATTTACTATCTCAGCTTAAATTAGACAAGACTAATCAGTCGGTCAAGACAATTGAGCTAGTCTAAATGGACACTAATGGCCATTTCTAGTCCTAAATTTGGGAAAAGCAAATAGAAAATATGTTCTATAATATGATAGGCAAATTTGGGAAAAGCAAATAGAAAATATGTTCTATAATATGATTTACCTATCTTATCATTTTTGTGTACAATAATAAAGTTTACTCGGATAGTGGTTATTTCTATCTATTTTAATCAATAGTCAAAGATCTCATGGATGTGGCCATGTGGGCATTCAATGGCAATTATATCGTGCACCAGGGTGTACATTGTATTGCACACCTAAAAATTTATGTATATTATGTTAAGAGTTCATTTATATTAAGTTAAAAGTTTATGTATATTATGTTAAGAGCTTATGTGTATTATCTATTATCAGGGGCGGAGGCGATTTGTTGGTGCGGGGAGCCAATCACAATTTGTTGCTTTATCATCAAACTTATTGCTCAACTCTGCAACTGAAAATCAATCATCATATCGCATTAAAAATATCAACTTTGTAATGATATCCAATTGTTAATTCATCTTGTTGATGCGTAGCCCTTCCTCTTCTTGCAATATATTGAGCATCAAAATCCGACACAATTATGTTGACAGTTTCACAACTTGCAAATGGATTTATTTGAGATGTTAAATCTTTAGAATTCTTTCTTTTAAAGAAAAGATCACTCATTTGTGTCTTTTTCATTTCAACTCAAACTTCCTGTTAATTTTTTGACATATCAATTCAATTAACTAAAACGAACAAAATAAATAAATAGACAAAGATTAAAGTAGTAGAAATTTAAAGATTTTTGTAACAAAATTGATAATTTATTATTATAATAAGCACAATTGTAATGTATTTTATTTACAAATTAAAAAGCTAACTAAATAGCAAATTAGCAATCCTGTCCACAGCAAGCTTCGTGATGCAAACTGAATAAACTTTTATCATCTTTTGTTTGCAAGTAAAATGTAGTGTTGTCTTATTGACAAATAACATTCCCCAAATAGCTGTTTGGGTTCTATTTTCCATTACCATCTTTTCTAACAATTTTCTATTTAATTCTTTACTAGTATTTGCGCCCGTGCGATGCACGGAATGAATTTGTTGTAATATATTAAGAATATATGAATCGATATATAATTATTTAAATTAGAACATCAAATATTATATAATGCAATTAAAGATATGATTTGAATTGTTTATATATTTTGATGTTATCATTGCTTGAATTTGTGTAAATAATTGCTCAAATTAATAGCTAATGTCTAGATGTACGCATGCGGTCCTATAATTTTAAAGATTTTATTTATCATTGTTTATTATTTTCATAAATTAGGCAAATGTGCTTGTTCTCTAACAACTCAGTTATAGAAATGAATTGCTATCCTTATTCATTTGTATGGAAGTAAGATATATATTTTTGTCTAGATATATAACAATATTTTCATTTAAAAAAAATTAATATCACCGATTATATTTACACATTATTGAAACCTCTTTATAGACGACATTGGTATTGACAACACAATCTTGTTCATCTTCGTCTAGAGCTAACATCTTCTCCATCAGGACTGGTTACTTGGGTGAAAATATATAATGGTAGAATATCACTCAATTAGTTATCCTTTTATATTTTCAGTCAATTTGTAATACCATTTTCATTTTCAGCCAATTATTCTTTTTTATTTTCAGTCAATTAGTCAATTAGAATATCAAATGCAGTGATATTTTTACCTAACTTTTGTTCTATTTTTAATTTTTGATGTTGATATTATTATTGAAATATTTCCGTTCCATTTTTAATTTACCTTTACTACTGTTTAAAATATGCATTTACTATTGATAATGTAGAATATTATTATTAGAATATTTTCCTCCAATTTTTATTTTTCATTCCATTTTTAATTAAAATGCAATGATCTGACCATTTTTTTAGTCAATTATAGACAATGTAGCAAAACACGCTAGGCGCCCCCTAGGCGGCAAGGGGGCGCCTAGCGCCTAGGGCGCCTAATCAGCGCTCAGGCGCCGCCGATTTTTTTATTTTTATTTTTATTTATTTTTATTTTTTTAATTAAAAATAAAATTAAAAATTAAATTTTTTAAAAATTTAGTAAGAAAACATAAGGTTTCCATAGTTATTTCTTAGAAACTATTTACGAAAGTAGTTGTAAAAGTGTTCAAAAGATTGTTTAAACCATCTAAATACATAAAAACTAAAATTAAGAGCTAAAGAAGCATTTTTTTGAGAAATTAGTGGACCAAACCGCCTTTGGCGGTTTGCGGTGGATAGATCTCGAAAAAATACGCGATTTGAAAAAAAAAATTGTCCAAAACGGACAACCAAGTCAAAAGTTATGCCTTCCCGAACTTTTCGCAATTTAAAACGCAAAAAAAAAAAAAAAAAAAAAAAAAAAAATTATAAGCGCCGGTTCGGCGCCGGTTCAGCCGGCCGCGGAGGAGGCCGATTCCAGCATTCTTCGCAGCGGCGGCCGAGCGCCTAGGCGCGATTTTTGCAACCATGATTATAGATCATTTTTTATTTACACTCAATTATTAATATTCATTTACTTTTATATTTTCAGTCAATTAGTAATATTAGATTCATTTTCAGTCAATTATTCTTTTTTATTTCTAATCAATTAGTTAATTAGAATATAGATGCAGTGATATTTTTACATAATTTTCGTTCCATTTTAATTTGATGATGTAGAATATTATTAATGAAATATTTTCGTTCCATTTTAAATTTATCTTTACTGTTTTTTAAAATATGTGTTTACTATTTGATGATGTAAAATATTATTTTTGAAAATTTCCTTTCCATTTCTAATTTTCCTTTACTTCTAACCACAAAAAAAAAAAAAAAAAAAAAAAAAAAAAGACTTTGGACTTGTCAATACTTGTCCACATTGATTTTTTTTTTGGTAAATCCAGGATTTTCACCGTCAGACACAGTGACTAATCCCCTCGTTGAATTGTAAGCACATCTTTTGTGTGGGGCAGCTGGCTTAGAGATTACTCCGTTCCCAAATCCAAGGATCGAACCCTTGACCTTTGGTTAAGAATGGATGAGTCCGTTACACTCAACCACACTGTCCATGATGGGCAAGCAATTATGTTTGTAAGGGGAGCATTGCTCCTCTTATATAGAGGAGTTCAAGAGCTCCTATTTCCAAACATTCCTCTTTCCAAACATTTTCAATGTGAGATTAAAATGATCCCACATCATTTACAAAGGGAGCCCGTGACTCCCTTTTGTTTTCTTCTTATTTTTTTTAAATTTTAATTTTATTTTGCATATTGTTTTGTTTTGATTGTTATTATTATTGTTATATTATTATTATTGACAAATTCATCGTTTTAACAATTTATCTTTAATCAAAACACCAAAAATATTATTTAGTAACTAAGTAATTTGCTCCAAACTGCTAAAAACTAAAACAACACATACATTTTGGGTTAATCTTTCCTAACGCCCACTAATAAATAATAAATAATAAATAAATAAAATTAAAATAAGAAGACAAAACTAAGATTTCTTAAATAAGAACCTTTTGACTTCTCAATACTCGTCACATCGATGGGCAAACAATTATGTTTGTACCTCTTATATAGAGGGATGAAAATAAACCCACATTATTTATAAAGGGAGCTTGTGGCTCCCCTTTGTCTTTTTTTTTTTTTTTCTTTTTTCTTTTTTTTTTTTTTGTTGTTGTTAATTTTAATTTCATTATGTACATAGTTTTGTTTGGATTATTATTATTATTATTATTATTATTATATTATTATTATTATTATATTATTATTATTATTATTATTGTTGTTGTTGTTGTTGTTGTTGTTATTTTGTTGTAATTTGATTATTTGGCAAATTCACCAAAATTTTAAGAAATCCGTCTGTTTAATATTTTATATTTAATCAAAAAAATAAAAATATTATTTAATAATTTAGCAATTTGTTCCAAACTGCTAAAAACTAAAACAACACATACATTTTGAGTTAATCTTTCTAGACCCCCACTAATAATAAATAAATAAATAAATAAATAAATAAATAATAAATAAATTAATAAAAACTAAAATAAGAAGACAACGCTAAAACTTCTTAAATAAGAACCTTTTGACTTCTCAATACTTGCCCACATTGATGGGCAAGTAATTATGTTTGTAATAAGAGTTTTGCTCTTCTTATATAGATGAGCTCTCTCTTTTCAAACATTTTCAATGTGTGATCAAAATGATCCTACATCATTTACAAAAGGAGTTTGTGACTCCTCTTTAATTTTATTTTATTTTATTTTGTATATAGTTTTGTTTGGATTATTATTATTATTATTATTATTATTATTATTATTATTATTATTATTATTATTATTATTATTATTATTATTGTTGTTGTTGTTGTTGTTGTTGTTGTTGCTGTTGTTGTTGTTATTGTTATTGTAATTTGATTATTTGGAGAATTCTCCAAAATTTTAAAAAAATTCGCCTGTTTAACATTTTATATTTAATCAAAAAATTAAAAAAATTATTTAATAACTTAGCAATTTTGCTCACTGCTAAAAACTAAAACAACACATATACATTTTGGGTTAATCTTAGTCAAACCACCTAATCAATTTTTTTTAAAAAAAATAAACTAAAATAAGAAGCCATTAAAATAAGGTTTCTTTCATAAGAGCTTTT